CATGTGCACGATGAAAAACTTAACCAGAAATGTATAGCGTACTATGTAAAATAAAGAATATACTTAGTTCATCAAGAATAACGACGTTTAGTATCAGGCGTTAATAATAAGATTAATATTTTTAATCGTTTTAATATGCATGAAAACACCCCCACAAATGCTTTACTATGCAGCTTTCTTTGTATATATAGGCACGTAATGAAGGCTTAAAATGTAACTTGAGCATAGAGGCCCTTCCACGGTAAATATGCAACATCGTTTAAGGTATTCCTTGCTGGAATTTGTTATACCAGCATAGACCATAAATAAATATTTAAATAAATAAATACAGTGACTTTTAAATTTCAATAGCAAAAGTGATTTCCCTCTAGTTTTCAAATTTTCGAAGAAAGAATTATTCTTCTCTTACATGTAGCATACTTTATGTGTAAAAAAAGATTGGGCTCGTCCGGGATTTGAACCCGGGACCTCTCGCACCCTAAGCGAAAATCATACCCCTAGACCAACGAGCCGCTTATATGTAAGTGCGAAAGTAATGTTCTTATTCGTCTTTTAACAATCAAAGAAAAACGTTTCCTCATACCTGACAGGTTTCGATTAGATTGAGATAATACTTCAAAAACTTATTATACGGTGCGATTTTAATTTTTATATCGAAATATTGAAAGTAGTAGCAAGGAAATACTGGACCTGAGTTGATGGGTTTTTGAATAGGCAGCAATTTGACGCACAAAGTATACGTAGTACCTTTTATAAGTATGAAAATCAGTAGAATTCTAAAAAAAATTACTGATTCGCAAGTTCTTGTGTGGTATGTAGCAATTAAATCAAAAGTTAATTAAAAAAAAAGAACTTAAAGACCTTTTAACCTTTACCATCTCTAAAATATTGTTTATAACCTGCCTAATACGATCATAACTATTGTTGTATTATGTTCCTTTTCGCCTAATTAAAAATCATTATTACTTCGGATCATCGAATATCCCTTACGTTTTACCTTAATTTGTAGCCATACAGGCCATAAATATTCTGATGGTTCTTAAGCCTTTAAGCGACAACTTTTTGTGCACATAATAGAGTAATAACTTTTACAACAAATAAACGTTGTAGGTAATTCTGAATAACTATTTAAATTTCGTAAAAATATTTATCTGTATTTTATTTATTTAAAAAAACGTTGTAAAACGACAGTCCCGTATTTATGCCCGGTGTAAAGCCAAGCTATTCTTCGGTCAGTGTTGGAAATTTATTCGATAAAACGTGGATCGTATTAACTCTCTTCTAATTCAGAATTAAAAGACTTGATGTTGGTACTAGGTAATTACAAAAAATATCAAATTTCACCAAGGTGGTCATTTTGAGCATAAACCATATTGACAATTATACCACTCTCTACTGCTAGATTGCTTAGTTATTTTTCTTAAAAAATTACTTTGTTAAAACCTCCCATACAAAATATTTATAACATAATTATGTTAAATATAAGTTATTTGAGCATTAATATGATTGAATGAAAATGCAAGAATTAAATCATGATGGAAAGCCTGTTTGGATCGTAACTACCCTAGATGACAAAATAAAAATTGCCGCAAAATCCACGCAGGCGCCAAACCAACTGTGGCCAAACCAAAATAATGGCCACAGAACTTCCTACCTTAAATCGCGTGCAGTGCTTGTTGTCGTACCTACGTATTTGTCGACGATAGGAAATAAACTTCCCAATGCTCTGCAATAGTATTGAGAAAAAAATATTAACTCTCTTGAACCCGCTAATACTACTTTAATAAATCGAAAACAAAAAAGCAACAAAAGCCAAATCAACACACAATCAATTATCACTTTCTTTTAATTTTTATTGTGCATTTTTTAAAACACTTGTAATAAATCTGTTCATATAAAAAAATTATCACTTAGATTTATATAGAATTTAAAGAAATGTTTAGTTTAAAATAGTACAATTTTCTAAAAACTTAGGCTTTGAATGGTTGGTATTTCAATCCATTTAAAATACGCGCAAAATCAAAAAAAAAACAGTCGTACATTAAATAAACGCAAAAAACTCTTAAAGTAGTTATAAATATTATTGTATACAAAATGTCCGTAACACGCGTATTTCAGCGATAACCACTATAATTCAATCATGATTCAAACTATTATGCATAGTAAAATAGATACACATATTTAAACTAGATCTTTTTTCGATTTCACACGATTATATTCGTTATTAAATAGAATATCGAAAATAAGCGGAAAATAATGAACATGCAGTGGGGCTCGATATACGAAACTATTATGATAAACTGCGTCTAGCCGAAAGACATAAAAACCATTCGGAAAACGCAACAGCTCTACAATGTGCAACCCTTGGTAACTCTACGTTATAACGTCTTTGAAAATATATATCCGAAAGGCACTTTGCGCTCATTCAAGCTGAAAGAGATAAAGAATCCGTAGTACTTTTCATGTGACATTATTAAATATTGCAACCAAACTGTAATTACCTTTGCCAACAATAGTAAATCGTTAGCTTATTACTATTTAGATCATTAAGTATTCATTATAATTATAACATATTAATATTAAGATATTTAATTTAGACCATTTACTTAAAATTATCTAAATTAAATATAGTAAGTACCTTATATTAATAATTTAAAGTTGTAATTATTTTGTCATATATAATTTATCAACATTTTCTAAGCCAAGACTCAATTTTAATTTTCTTTTTAAAAACTATTGGTAATATCGCAAAAATAAACACAGAAACAAATTATGTGCATTCAGCAACATTCTTGTTGTTATTTTATTAAGAAATAATTAACGCAGTGATAACAGAGTTATAATTGCGTTAGCATTGAGGCCGCGAATGCCGAAGACGTGGGTTCGATTCCCACAGCGGCGACAATCTTTTCGTACTTTTTCTACATGTTTTAATGTTCAATCTTAAGTGCAGAGATTAGCACAATAAAAAAAAAATAAAAAAAATCTTTAAAATCTGAATATCATGTTATCGTAAGACCACGCAGCAACTTCTGCTGTTGCACGCATGGGCAGGTTCATCAGGGCAGTAAGTACCATGGATTCAAAAAGTCCGTTGTTGGTATAAGTTCGCGTTTCGTCTAGTGAGTGGGGTAACTCCTTTAGTGGTGGGTCGCACTTGCAACCACCTACGCGCTTGGCAAATTTTTATGATGGCACAGCTCTTAAGCGTTTAATATACGCAGCTTCGGTTATAGGTCCGATTCTCGTTGCTTTCAGATGTTTGTTTGTATCAAATTTGTTATTTTAAAACACCTCTACAGATAATGTTGCAAATAAATGATAATGCTACCTTACTATAGGAGTATCTATAAGTGAATGCATTTGATAACACCGTCTGGTGTCTGAAAGATGCAAGTTCGAATCCCGCAGCACGGGAACTTTGTGATATCCACTGCATATACAAAAATTTTGATTTTAAGTATCACACTTGAAATCGAAGATGAAATCGTGTTTTCAGGCAGCACTAAATTCAAAAAAATCACAAATACAAAAAAAATAATGATTTTGAGTTTTTAAATAAATAAATAAATAGACGGCAGCCATGTTATATGACAAAATTGTACACAATTTTATTTTTTTGTTCCTTATGATAACATGACTGCCTAACTATAATACATGTAGGCAAACCTAGCAGTAATGATACGTAGGTTTGCCTCTCCACGTAGATATTTAATATTTCTTCATCATCATGTCAGTTGGTTAGAGTCCATTGCTGACACAGACCTGCAAAACAGGCCATGGGGCATGATCCTGAACCACCTGCATCCTTTTACTTCCCGCATATTTTAATATTTAAGTTTATACTAAATTTCAATACTAAATTTCAAACTCAAATACGAAATTTCAATCAACAAATCAATTTGCAAATATTATGGAGGTACGGCGCACTCAATTAATAAACCGGCCAAGTGTGAGTCGGACTCACGCCCGAAGGGTTCCGTACCATTATCTATAAAAACGCTAAAATTTTAATGTGAAAAGTTGCCAAACGAACAGACGGTTCACCCGATGGTGAGTGAATACCGCCGCCCATGGACATCTGCTACACCCGATGGTTACAGATGCGTTGACAACCGATATAGTGGCAACAGAAATACATCATCTGTTAAATTTCAACTGTCTATCACGGTTTATGAGATACATCCTGGTAGCAGACGGACTGACAGACAGACAACGGAGTCTTAGTAATAGTTCGCATTTCACCCTTAGGGTACGGCACCCTAAAAAACTGATTTATCATAAAATCGAGAAATAAACCTAATTTTCTTCGTGTTTTGTTTCGAATTCCAGACGTTCAAAACACAAATGCTGCAATCTATCTTCATATGGAGATTTCAGAGATGGAAACGGAGACAACGGGTTAAATAAAATAAATAATTTTCTTTAAAAAGATTTAGTAATTGCGAAAATAAATGCGACGCCCGGTTGGAACGGGGTGCCTTTCGTTTTACTTTATTAATTTAATTAATAAATAACATACATATTTTTTGTTTAATCATTACTTAATATACATCATTAATATACATCTCAGAATTGACGGCAAACTGAATCGATTGAAAAAAATTTTGTGTGATTTTTCATTGTTACACTTTTTTCGACCTAGCCTCTCAGCCCGCAAAACAAATCAGAACGATAACGTGCGAAAAGGACCTCCGTTCTAAAAACACATAGGTAATTTTATAAATTCAATGCGGTCTTGACTATCAAATTACAGCAAGGACATAATACTCTAAGAGCTAGCAATGTTTTCAAGAGAGAATTTCACGTAAGCAAGTTTTTAGATATGCTATCTCTCTCACTCTCAATAAAGATTTTTTTTTTTTTTTTCAAAATATTTTAGTATGGACGAAATTTTAATACGATGTTATTTAAGTATATAAAAAACCCAAAACCTCGTCAAAACCTTCAGCCATACCGATCCAAAAGTGAAAAGTGATTGGGTATGTTGGAAAAGAGCAATGATGCGCAATGATCAACGCAACCTCTACCGCCAGCCAGATAGCCCGTATGACGTTTGGGAGATGGAGAGAGATAGCATATCTCAAACTGTCTGTCTACCTGAAATTCTTATTTTTCCGTACTAGCTTTCGTACTATATGACTGTTATGGCAATGTCTAATTATGGAGAACTGTTAACTGATAAGGCCGCAATTAAATATACTCGTTAAGCAAGTCACGATTGTATGGATAGCCTTTCCCACCATTGAATGATAATCGTATTGAATGATAAAAACATGGGGTGACACATCACGTTTTATCTTTATCAATATAGTTCAAAATAAATTACTAATCGCTTTCTATGACTTGCATAATAATTGTATTTTATATTCCTTATAAAACATAATAAGTTTAATATAGAAACTTCTGTTTTTTTTTCGGCGCTGCCAGGATTAAAACCCTCGTTTTCTGGAGAATGCTCTAGAGTATAAACACAGCGCGAAAATCTCGACAACGATCTCTTTATAGTATTTCTCATTGGCATTTTTTATCAGAATGACATAACTTCCATAATTAGTCATCAAACAGTTGTACAAATATTTTTGTTTCGAATAATTGCCGTTGTAGACGTCTTTTGTAGTAAGATAACCTCCAACAATATTTTAACCTCATTGTAAATCTTTGATTATAATTATACTTGTCTAGATAAACAATTAGCAGTGCCGAACGGTAAAAATAAGGTTAAAAAACGGAACAAAAATTGTCTACTAAAACTGGTAGATTCGCGTTCGACGTACTACGAATCACTTACGGATAATGTGCTCACGAAAAATACTTAATTATGACGATTTGTGCTATCAAACCGTGTCACAGTTATATGGCAAATCGTATAATAATACCAAAATCGCTTTAAATCGGTGAGTTTTTGGGTTTGGGTTTGTGTTTTTTTGGGTTTCAGATTTCCTACGGATTTTCAAATCGCTGGAGAGCCAATATACAGCAGATTTTAGAAACAGATTTTGATGTATAAGCTACTGTATTTTTTATTGTTACTAAAATAAATAAAACTAATAATCTTGAAAATAATGACTATTAATTTAGCTTTCTTACCTATTTTGATTAACTTTCACCTTATTAAATAATAGGGAAAACTTAAGTTAATAATTTGGAGCAACATGCCTAAACACGCACACCTTGACAGTTGACGTACTTGTTTACAATAAGTACACGAGCAGCACTTACACATATCATGCAATCAGAGACAGTTTTAACACGTCGTTGGTTAAGCATTGCTCTATCTAGACAAGTAGTAGTAGTAAAATAGTGTGTTACGTATAACAAAATAATGTCTGACAAGAAGAGAAAGTGATCAAATTTAATAGGTACCCTTATTTTTCTCCATCTGTGTTATTACCATATTATGTATTTCTAATCATTTCTTATGCAAAAAAAAGTAAAAGGCGCATTAAACCTCTTATCAATAATAACTAATCGAAACAATTAATAAATTGCGCTACGCGTTTCATCCTATAAAAATTGAAAAGATTATAAAATATGTGGGAACACAAAGTAGAATAAAATATAAATAAATAAAATTTAGTGGTAGTATAAGTGGGGTACTTATCTAGTTAACCCTATGTTATCAAACATCTCGTTCATGGGTAAATAAGTAAATCAACCATTACTCAAACAGCTTTAAAAGGAAGAGGTTGACTGCGGAGCGGTAATTAGTTCATTGCAACTTCGCCCTGCCTTGTTTGTTCCCAATTTCGAAGCGGTAAGCATTATCAAGTTTACTGGCATTTTTTTTATTTATTTATGGTGTGTACTTCGCATCCAGTTTTAACTTTTATCGACTAACTCTAACATCTCCATTTTTGTTATGACTTTGGCACGAGTTAGTATCAGGTAAACAAATGAAATAACGCCATGAATGAATCGCCACGGGGCTTTGGAACGGCTTAAACATTTTTATCGAGTCTTGATCGCAAGAAGGCGTCCGTAGTAATCTGGTTTGAAAGAGCTTTCTCTCAGAGAATCGAGCGTCTCTTCTCCGTTTTGTCCGCTGGGACGTCACCGACCGTAGCAAAGGGAATTGAATACGGCCGTTTGAAACCTGCTCAAATTCATAGTCATCTCTATTTACCGAGACACTTGCGGCCTCTGAACCCAACCGCGATAAGTAACTATCTGTAGCGCTCGCAAGTAAACAGAGAAATCCTGCAAGCGGCCGCTTGTTAAAACGGTTATAAAAACAATTGTTAAAACATCTGATATCGCCCGAACAAAGCGAATTTACAACCTATTAGCACTAAATCTAAATATTAACCCGTTTCGGTAGCCGAACTCCACGCCAAGCCAGTTCGGTGGCACGTTACCGTTCAAATATTCGTTGTTTTAACGTTTTGATGAGGATATTTGGAACGAAGACGCTTTTGTACAACGCTAATGCGTTATACAAACGCAAACGCTTTAAATATAATGTAATAGTTATATTAATGGCTATGACCCATTTCTTCCACTATACGTAAATGCGATTAAATATAAATCTAAATTATAAAATTATTAAGACATTCATTTTCAATTTTAATAAATATTAATTTTAATAGAGGAATGGGCTCTCCTGCCTACTTGGAAACCCGTATTGTTAAATGCAACGCGGAATAAGTACAATTTGTGCGCCCCTTAACACCAACAGTGACCCTATAATAATCTCGCAGGATTCGTCATCATCGCCGCCGCAACCCGCGCGTTGCAAACTCAGGCGCGCAGTGCGAGACGGGGCGCGACCGCTAACTAATCCCATTCACCCTAGTGAAGGACCTCCGATGATTCATAAAACAAAATTGCCAAAATAAAATATTATTTCGTTGTTAAGAAACATTAAAGTTCAAATAAAAAAAAACTTACACAAGATATCTCCCGTTTAACCTTTTTACAACATCGATGACCCATAAACATTTCAAATAGGATTTTAATGCAACTCTCGCTCCACGTATCGGGCTGTTGTAATCGAAGCACTTTCGTCGATCGCACTTAAAAATACATTTACTCTTAACGGAAACCTTTTAGATTAAAAAGAAACTGCATGGATGGAAATGTTTGCCGGTTCAGTAAGTCTCAACAGAACTTATTAACTCAAAATGTAAATATACATAAATGTTCAAAAAACTGCGTGATATACTTGATATTCCAAATTCAGGTATGTCAGAAGCTTGAGGAAGAAGTGTCTCTCGATAAAAAAATTTAAATAAGTTAATTTCGTTGTGCCTCTTTAGCCCTCTTCGTTAACTGTGTATAGTTGTTCAAATTTAAAGTGTGGAGCGTATCTGTATTTATATTGATTCTTCATTCATTCGTTTTTTCTTTTTCTTCAAGCTCTTCATCACACATTTTGTTATTTTAATTATAATACCGATGAATACCTCAGTTTCGAGTATACATACAGGTTTTAGTGCCTCTATATATATAATTCTACTGTACGTGTGTATGAACACGGAACTTCTCCAAAACGGCTGGACCGATTTTAATGAATTTTTTGTGTGTCTTCAGGTCGATTCGAGAATGGTTTAGATTTACATTTTTTTTTTAAGTCATTGGATTAAAGTCGTGTGTACAGGACAACGTGTGCCCGGACCGCTAGTAACAATATATTTATCTGCTTGATAACTGTTGAAACTGATCAGGAAAGAGACATCTAAATAAGAAAAAGCATATCATTAGTTCACTTACATACCTAAAAGAGTAAATAAAACGAATGATTACTTTAAAAAATAAAAATTTATTTATTGGCCCCACTTTTGTGCGAATTATATTTCAAAGATAGTCTTTGAAATTAAGTTCGCTTGTAAAGTTTTAGTGATTTTGTTCGGGTTTTTAAGATTTTATATCTTAAACAACATTTTATCGATTACAATTTGGCTTTTGTCGATTATGATCTGTGAGAGCTCCGCGGCTGGGCGCTCGCGTTTTATTAAACTTTCCTGAGCAACCTGAGTTAAAACCCCGATCTGGCACCAATGAAATAGTTAATTGAAATTATTATAAGTGTTCACTGACGTCATCCCTATTTAAAGAAAATATCATGAAAAAATTTTCGTAATAACATAAGGATGAATCGAAGATATATAAAGTCTGCCAATCATCGAAGAGGTCGCGTGGTGGACCGTGCCCTGATACCCACTTCTCAGAGGTTTCGTTGCCCCGTAGGACATATTATATTTTTAAATAACAAGGTACAGGTATAAGGTACAAAAATTTAACGCTCGATTTCAAATTATTAGCTATTAATTAGCTTTTAAATAACAAGGTACATAAATTAATAACTTACATTTCACCGTGGTGGTTGCAGAATCTTCCGGGCAACATGTATTCGACGAGTATGACGGTACCCGTGCCTGAAATTGTCGATCGGCAATTTGAGAAGCCCCTCTTATGCGGCCCTGGACCCTGCGATGTGTGGCCCTCGGTGGCGGAAGCTTTAACCAGGCCCGTGTTATCTCCGATGTGTGACGAGTTGTTTAACGTGAGTAACGGACTTGTACCTATATGATATTTTTTTATTATAAAAGCTAATGCTGTCGACAAATATCGGACATATATGGATGTCTGGTTCGATGTATGGCCGATATTTAAGCAGTAAGGACACATCTGTCTCCCCCATTTTGTTTGAGGGAGATTGCCCTCGAAAAAAATTGCAAGACAAATGTTAGCCCGTGGCAGTTGTTAGTGTCCATGGGCTGTGGTTACTACTCCAACACAGGTTAATCTGCTATCAACATCTTCGACAAACATTACTGAGTCGCTGAAGTAAACTACTTTAGATACATGATTGCTGTAGGTTTTCGATGACTTACGAGCAGGAATCCAGTACCTGTTCCAAACACGAAGCAAGCTTGTGTTGGCGATGAGTGGCTCCGGCCACGCTGGTATGGAAGCAGTGATAAGCAATCTCGTTGCGCCAAAAGAGACGATTCTCATCGCTACTAGAGGCATCTGGGATGAGCGAGCTTACAATATTTCAAAAAGATACGGTAATCTCTTTTTCGTATTCACAAATCATAACTATATGCACCAAAAACTGACCATTGGAAACTTACATTAATTTATTTTACGTAAATGAATAACACCAATTGATTTAACTTATTCTTGTAGCTGAATTTTGGGCCGATACCGTCTGAATAGATATTGCTAACACACGAAAGGAAGAAGAATTTATTTATACTTTAATTTCTTTATAGGTATCAAGCCGACTGTGTATCGAATACCATTTAATCGGTCTTTTACCTTAGCTGTGCTTAAAACTATTCAAAGCATTTCAAAGAGATACGGTAATCTATTTTTCACAGTCCCAAGATGTAACTATTTATTATATACACCAAAAACTGAGAATTGGAAACTTACATTAATTTATTTTACGTAAATGAATTTACGACCAAATGATTAAAACTTATTTATACATTAGCTTCTTTACAGGTATTAATCCGATTGTGTATCGAATACCATGCAATCGGTCTTTTACCTTTGCTGAGCTCGAAACACAATTGAAAAGATATCGGCCGACAGCGCTCTTTATTACCCATGGAGATTCATCCTCAGGGACTGTGCAGAAAATTGAAGGACTCGGGGAAATTTGCCATAGGTATGTAAACTTGTATTCATATATTCCCTTTTTATTTTATAACTTACACATACACACATACGTATTAGTAAAGAATCATCTATAATTTTATGATGGATATTACGCAATTTACGCAAAACGACGCGATAAAACACGAGTAACTTATTTTTAATAACAAAAAACAAAACCGACTTCAAATATCTCACTCACTGTACATTATTATTTGATTTTGAGAAGATCACTGAGGTATCTCCGGAATCCACGGTCGGATCCATAGATCATCATCGATCGCAACTAATCCCACGTAACCCGTGCTGAGGCTTTCATTTTTTTTTTATTCTCCTATTTATTGGGATATCATTTCTTAAAGCGCCCTTTTTTTTTTCACGATTTTCACTTTTCTCGATTTTAAACGAGCATTGTTTTAAGTCCTTCGTAATTTTCGTGAAAAATACTTATTTTTCGTTCCATCATTTTTTCTTTCATTTTTTTTTTATTTTTTTTTTATTCATTATTCGATTTGTTATTTCATTTTTACTCAAAAAACACCAGTAATGTGTATCTAAATGTAATTTCCAAAATACATGATTTACAAAAAAAACCAAACCGAGCAGAGCTCGGTCCTCCGGGTACTTATATTATTATTAAAACCGCAAAACAAGCGACAATTCTTATATTTCAAATTTGATCAAATGTAATACGATGTAAAGGAAGGTGAAGAGTGCTTTTTAAGCCGTTTATATTTAAAAAAAATTAACAATCACTATCAATAATAATAGAATCATCAATTCGTAGAAAGCTTCTTAATTAGTATCGAATGATGTTCTCTGGTTTTACAGGATTTATTGTCATACTATTTTGGCGAGACTATTCAGATAATATATCTAGGTCCTCTTGAAGAGCCCTACTACCTTATATCTTTTGTGATTTTTAGATCGTCGTCCAAGATAAAGCATTTCGAGTTACGGATGCCTTCTGACGCATTGTTTAAATATATCGTTTATTTATTATCATATATATAACGCCTGATTTTGATAGGTATAATGGCGAAGTGTACCCTTTCACAACATAAAAGGATGATCTACCCGGAAGACACGATAGTTCCAATATTAAGGCGAGAAATTTTTTTTAAAAGTGAGTGATTAACTTTGTCTAACGCCTTGGAACTATAAAAAATCCGTATAACTTTAGTTGAAACGCACCTTGTATACACGAGTCAACTGATTCAGACCGTAAGATTATAAAGTTAAAGACGCACGACCTCACAGAAATGCGTTTAGTAGAATTGTCATACTTTCACGTTTCGTCTGATGAGTGAGGTAGCTTGGGCCCACATTGGTGGCAACGTTATTACTCAACATCAGGTGAAACACCAGCTCGTTTGCCACCTTGTCACATAAAAAAATTAAAACTAATTCATTTCTGCTTAAAATTTTCGCAGATACGGCACATTATTGTTGATAGACACGGTGGTGTCCTTGGGTGCGGCTCCATTTTTCATGGACGCATGGGGTGTCGACGGCGTATATACGTCCACTCAGAAAGCACTTAGTGGACCAGCTGGTATATCTCCAGTAGCATTTAGTGCTCGAGCCGAGTAAGTTTTTAAATAATTTGGATAGTCTACTTCAGTAGAGTTATTTAAAAAGTTACAACTAAAGAATGTGATGAAGATGCTCCAAAATAATTACGCTCTCGATTGTAATAAAATAATAATGGTTCGAAGAAGTACCGCTAACTCGCAATTACAAGACCAGCGTGATGTGGTAGTAATATACCTCTGCGGTTCGTCGTGTGAGTGAGGTAAGCGGTGCCAACTGTTTTTAAACGTGGCAACTCATCCGCAACCCCACGGGTGTAAGGCATGGGTGGCGTTTGTCACTTATGAACCAACTCGCTTGCCACCTTCTCGCATAAGGCCGTGCTTGCTCAGTTTGAGGTTGCCCGCTTTCATTTTAATATACTTGAACAAACACCGTGCCAATGAAATTATTAATTGCAGTTATAAATGCCCATTAATTATTTTGTCAGCGGAGAAATCCACTAGGCATCCTTCATACAGACCTAAAAAATAATAAACAAAGTATATTTGGAAAATATGTCAAATCCGTCAATTCGTAGTATGGCCCTCTGCTTTTCTACAAAAGAGGCCTTTGCCCAGCACGCCGCAGTTGGACAAATGTACAGGCTTTTACTTTAACCATACCTTTATTTAAGAAATTAGCTTATTTATGCAACCTCTATATATTTCCCACCGACTTTATAAAAAATGCAAAAAATGCAAGTTGGTTTTGCTTTCAATTTTCTTCTTTCGTTTCATTATTACCATCTGATAACCTGTCGTTTAAAACTTAATGTAGAATCATAGATTAATTGATAAGAAACTGACTCACTCGCTATTAGTATTCTCCGATTTTTAAAGAGAAAACAAAATGACGTTGATCTCAAATTTCGCAAACTATCTACTAAATGATTACTATCAGTTTGAACGTGTCAGAAATGGGCCAGGACGGATTTGCCATTTATAATTTAACGCTTCGACTGATATCAATGTACTTGCTTTGTTGCTCCAGGGAGAAAATAAATAATAGAAAGCACGAACCACCCTTCTACTTCGATATCAAATTACTGGCGAAGCAGTGGAATTGCTACGGGAATACAAGAACGTTAGTATCCTCTGTTAATACCGACAACTTTTTATATCTAGTGTGTGTGTAATATATGTGTCTAAGTTATTTAAAGTGATTAATTCGTTTATTGTAATTATGTATAGACTTCCGTAGTAGAGCATACTTCCTATGTCGCGGAAATTTTCACAAATATTTTAAACCCGCACACAAAGTATACCCAGCATCTATCTGCAAATGCTTCAATACAAATTTGCATTGGATAACCTCTAAATTCGTGATCGTTATCCGTGCAGTCGAAATTTTTATTGCTCTGATTTTTGAAAAAGAATTGCTTATTATTAAATGTCGTGAAATTAAAAGTGTCTGTGGGGCCTATGTTAAGCAGGAGACTATAACAGGCTGAAATGATGATGATTATATTAAATAAGCAAAAAATCATTTTTGCAGGTACCATCACACATTGTCATCTCCTCTTCTTTGGGCGCTGCGATGTTGCCTAAGAGAAATTTGCCAAGAAACGTTGGAGAAGTCGTGGGAGAGACATGCTAGAGTAACCGAGTATTTCCATAAGCGATTACAGCAGCTTTCTGTAAGCTGTCTAGTGCCAAACCCTGAAAATCGCTTAGTGACTGTCGTAACAGTCGTGTTACCCAGGGGCTATGATTACCTAAAAGTCATCAATCATATGATAGAGAAGTAAGTTGTCAACGTCAAATAGAAGAGACATTGGTGCTAAAGTTCATAATTTTTTTGCATCTTATTATATTATACTTTTTTGTTATTTATTATGTGCCAATTTTACTTATTTTTAAGTAATTCAAACCCGTTAACCTCCCACAAGCGGGCTTATTTGTTGAACGGATGAAATGTATTGACCACTTTAGTATATTTCAGGATATCAGTATTTTTCTATAAGTATTTACTTAAACTAAAAATCATAGAAAAGTAATTAAAGCCTATACAAGTCCCACTGATGCGCAAAGGTCTTATCTGTACTGAAGGTATTAGGGCAAATCCCCCTGCGGATTTGCAGACTTCACATATCTTAAAAATATTTTCTTTTGTTATTTTTTCAAAAACATGCCACGGTGTTTTGCTTCACCGCTGAGCACGTGATTGTTATAATAACTATTTAGATAACAATTAAATTGATTGGATAATAGAAAGAAAACAAATAATACCTTATCACCATATGAAAGACCTTATTTTCCTTTCCTATAAATACAGATGATCGGCAAAATGAAAAAATTCTTACAACATTAATTGATCTCATTGTGTATACAATTATAAATTTACGTTGACTAGTTACGGAATATAAAATCTGTTTTCAGACACAATGTGCGAATATTTCCGGGCCTAGGTCCAACGGCGGGGAAATCACTACGCATCGGAATAATGGGAGTAAACTCAACTTTTCAAGTAGCGGATACTATCATTGATGCCCTCACCGATGCCTTGCAATCACTTACAAAATCGTCACTATAATTTAATGAATAATCTAAATCGAATCTCTGTTATCAATAACATCTCATAAAAAAACGTTCTTGGAATGTTTGTAAATTAAATCAAAATTAGTGATGGAACTAGAAGAATAAATCAAAGAGTTATTACTTACTTCATTAATAAATTATTATGTATCTTAAATGCCAGTCTTTTCAATTATTATTGTATCCAAATTTTTAATAAACGTCATAAGGTTTATATCAGCGCTATTATTCACCCTATTGGTGTTCAATTTGAAAATAGTGTATGGAAAAATAGGTGTAATGTTTTTTTCAAAAGACTGTCTAGATTTGAACACACTAATTAGGCTGGATTTTATAATTGCAATTAACAATATTCATAGTAGCGAAAACAAAAACCTAAATATTTTTATGTACTGTGTTATTTCTTCGTCTCTTCTTCAAATGTTAGAAACGCTTAAATCTTGGATGTTGGATATTTTACTGCAAATTACATAAATAACTATAAAACAAACATAAATATCATTTTAGCCCAATAAGAACGTCTTCTGCGGTGGTACAACTGCATAGCAGTTTCGGTAGTTGCATAAATGGGCTGGCTGATCTTAGAAAGTAACCTAGACTCGCCATCTTAAAAGTTGATAACGCAAATTCAAAGCTATTGAAGTGGTTGGTGTTCGTGAGCGTCACTTCAGCTTGGTACACTTAAGGACTATATCTACGACTTTGTTCCTCTGCCGGATGATTTCGTTTTGGATTTTATCCCTTACCGAAATACCAAGCATAGATCACTACATAGCTCGCTGAGCAAGGTGTAAGCTTTAGCATTCTAAGGGGGAGATGTTCAACAGTTGACGTCTAGCAGTTGATGATGATGATTTATATGCAATATAAGTTATTTGTGCATTAATATCTTTGGATATTATATATCTTATAATATTTGGATCATAATGCAAGAATTAAATAATGATGAAAAAAACTGTAACGGTCGTAACAGTTCTAGTTGAGAAAATAAAAATTGCCGCATTATCCACGCAGGCACACCAACTGTGAAAATATTGGCAACAGAACGTCTTAACTTAACTCGCCTGTTGTGCTTGTTGACGTTTCTACGTTCTTCTCGGCATCGCGAAAAAAAGTAAACTTGACCTCTCGCAAAGCTCTGCAATATGGTTTGAGAAATTAATATTATCTCTCTAGAGCCCGCTAAAATGATTTAAATAAACCAAAAACAATCAGACCAACAAAATCCACGTCTAACAATGATTTAATTGTTTGTTTAGTGAATTGTTTGTTTAGTGAATAGTTTGTTTATTGAAGTTTCATTTTATTTTATAACCCTATACAATTTTAGAATTATCATTCGCTTGTAACCAATCTGTGATAAAAATGACTTATTTCTTCGATCTCTGTTTAGTATTCCAGTGTAGGATTCAAAATGAGTGTTTTAATTTGAACTAACTAGCACAATTTTCCAAAATGTTGGTGTTTTGTAGTAAGTAATACTTACTTACTAAGTATATATTATAAAATACCTCGAAATCAAAATAAACGGCCGTATACTAAGTCCAAGCAAAATACTCTTATAGTAGCGATGATGTTCAATAATATCGATGACGCATGTCCATACAGCACTTTTAAAAATTGAACGTGACAGATGATGTAGAACGTCTGATACGGAATGAGCAGCAGTAACGAATTGGAGTGCTTCATTTTCGATTTTGAGTGTGTGTGTAGTCCGTATTGATTTTTGAGTCCGATTTTGAGTGTGTGTATCCACTCCGTATTGATGTATAATATGATTGTATAGTAGTGATAAATAGTAATGCATACAAAATGTTCGTAACATATATATTTCAATGAGGACGTAAACACTTAAATTCAATTAAGATTTAAAGTACTTATGCGTAGAAGAAATCTTTTAACACTTTCACTGCATTAAGGGAACTATTTGATGTTATTTCAGCTGTATTTTGCGCTCGGTTGGGGGGTAATTTATCTAAGTTTACGAAAAAGAGAGAACTGTACTCGCGATATTCTCGCCACAAATATTTTCAATTTCAAAAGAGAAACAATACGGGAAGTATTTTTGCGTAACGCAGTTGTTTTTGTGCCATACGTTAACTATTTAGCCGTACCCACCACCCCGTATAGCAAACAGGTGCACGCACACGGGGCTTCGGTATGCCATAGTGATGTGCGTAGTTAGGTACTGTACGTATTCCACACGTATCGGACGCCGCGAATTCTTAATGCAAAAATAATGAAACGATCGCGTAAAAAGTTAGATTATAAGTAAATATATAAAATCTGAAACGTGATAATGTGATCAAAAAAGGTGACGACTAAAACTACTCAAAAAACTTGAAATTGCTCTTATTTGACAGGTTTATAGTCAGCTGAATACCTGCCGTCTCTTTTTTTTTCGATGTCAAAAAGTAACAGGTCTAAACTAAATTTAATTTTAGGAGTTAGTTATGGGGTTATATTGAAAATTCTATTACATCCTTATAGCTTATGGTTTATGAGGATCTCTTGTGATCTTTCCATTATTTTTGTGATTATGCATAATAAGGAGAGATGTTAATTATAATTTTTCTTACGTTGAATAAGAAGGTGTTAATAAAGTTTGATCGAACGTGGAGTTTGTATAATTTATGTTGATTTTACACGATCAGTAAAATATTAAATGTTTACATTACTTTTTTTATAAAAAATGTTAGGTATGATTCAATTTTAAAAGTACCCCAATTCAATCATTTCATTTGTTCAATGCGGGAGGGAAGTAATTTCCCGTAAATTCACCGATTTCGAAAAATGTCTATAGCTTTGTAGTTTTCGTAGACCCCGAGATAAATGAAGTTGTATATACTCAAGGATATAGTCTATCGATTAGAACAAACATTTTGTAAAAACGATGATATTTCATATCTGTAGTGACCTTTGTAGCCGTCAGGAGATACGGGGAAATATCGCAAATTTGGAATTTTTTATACGGGAAGTATATGACTCGTAACCCAAACACGCAGAATTTACCCGACGCACGTACCGGAATGAATGTGTTAAACTTGATTAATTTTTAAATAATCGCTCTTACATACACGATTGAAAATAACAGGAAAATAATGAAGATCGGGTAGTGCTCGACATAAATTTAAATAAACCAAAACATCTCTTAAATATCGTATGCAAAATGGCAAACCAAACCTTTATGACAAACTGCGTCTAGTCGAAAAACATAAAAACCATTCTCCAAATGCAACAGCTCTACCATGTGCAGCCCTTAGGAGCGCTAAATTATAACGTCTTTGAAACAACATTTCCGAAAGGCACTTTGCGCTCATTGAAGTTAAAAGAGATAAAGAACCCGTAGTACTTTTCATGTGATAGATTAAAATACTACAACACAATTTTTATATTGAATCTCATACCATCAGTAGTAAATCGTTTGCTGTACCCGGTATGTACTTAAAATGATCTAAATTCAATCCAATATCGTATATTATCGAAAGCCACAAGGCCAATTATTTATGAATTGTAATTTTGACATTCGTCTATTACATTAGTAAGCTTAGTCTAGTCAGTACAAAAAAACCGTGTCTAAACTTACATATGTCCTTGTACTGCGGAGCACAAATCAGATAGAACTTTGTTTTATTCTGAATCTCAATATCCATAATTTAGATGAAAAATAATTAAATGTTGTCCAAAATCGTAGACAATAATTAAGGCTTTCCGACAATAAAATCAAATTCGTTCTATGTTACCACAGAACGTATTGCGAAATAATAGATGAACAATGGGTAATGTATATCGTTGATTTTTATTCTAATATAAAGTTCATTTAGTTAGCTTTTGAGGTACATTATTGTCATCCTTTCAACTATCATTAATTTGTTATATCCAATATTTACAACATTGTAATGTAAATACAATTATATAATATACTTACAAATTATCTAATAGCCCGCGCGGCATGGTACGAAGAAACTTTGAGCGAAGAAGCATCAACTGTTGTTTCAGTAATGGCCCGGGGAAGTACTAGAACCTCACAGAAGACCGGCGTGGAGTGGAGTAATAATACTTTTGCGTTTCGTCTAGTCAGTGGGGTAACTGTTGCCCACTCTTTTAGTATCACATTTGCAGCACCTCCAGTGCTACCCATGAGTTTCGGTAATTACTGAACATCAGATGAACCACCAACTTTTCATATTAAAAACCTTACATTTCTCAATACAATATATTGTCAAAAATACTAAACTTACAATTTATACTTATATATTTAAGCAAAAAGTTATAAACGCAAAGTACCTCTTATCAATAATTACAAATCGAAACAGCACACGAATAAATGAATTGCGCGACTTGAACTATTGCAAAAAAACACTATCTGTTAAAATGTTTATAAAATAAGTACGAACGCACACAGTAAAATTAAAAAAAAATAATAAATAAAACTTAGTATTCCTCTTATCTAATTAACCCAATGTTATCGAAAATTACGTTTATAGGTAAATACGTAAGTCGAGCATTACTTAGGCAACTTTAAAAGGAAGAGGTTGACTACGGAGCGCTAATTAATTCCTTGTTTGTTTTCAAAGCGGTAAGCATTTTCAAGTTTACTGGGAACTGTTTTTGTTACTTCGCTTCCTGTTTTAACTTTTATCGATTAACTCTAACATCTCCATTTTTGTCATGACTTCGGCACGAGTCAATATCGGGTCAACCAAACGCCGCGCAAACCAAACCAAACGGGCTTTGGAACAGTTTGAAGTTCGTAGTGGTAGTCTTGTTTGAAAGAGCGTTCTCTCGGTGGATCGAGCGTCTCTTTTTCGTTTTGTCCGCTGGGACGTCGTCGACAGCAGCAAGGGGAATGGAATCAATTTGTCGGGGCGATATTAAATTTGCCCGTTCGGAGCCCGCTTAAATTCCCAGTCTCCCATGTATCATCTACAATCACTCAATTCATCTACAATCGTGACCGTGACCTCCAAACCCAAACGCGATAAGCAACTATCTGCAACGCTCGCAAATCTCGTCGGAACGGTTATAAAAACAATTGTTAAAACGCCGTTACGGCCGCAGATAGCGAGACAAATTCGGCTGGCAAGCGGCGCGTGCCCCTGGGCGCGGTGCACTTGCCAAATGTGCCATCCGATAGCGCCCGAACACAGCGAATTTACAACCACCCTATTAGCACTAAATCTAAACATTAACCCGTTTCGGTAGCCGATCTCCACGGTCGCTCGGAATATCGGTCAACGCGGGCGCGGAATTTTCACGCGAAGCCAGCTCAAAGCCGAGCTAACCGCTCAAATATTCGTTGTTTTTTTGTTGTTGGTTTTGGTGAGGATGTTTTGAACAGGAGACGCTTTTGTACAAAGTTGATGATCTAATGGGTAACATTCAATTAATTAACATATGTCATGGTTATTACAAAAATAGTAAACACATCGTTTCCCATTTCTTAAGTTACACGTAATCGCGATTAAATATACATAAATTAAAATTTGTAAAATAAAGTACTATTTCGTTGTAAAGACAGCAACGTTCAAAATAAATAGTGCAAGTTCTTGACCTTCTTATGCGATGGAAGTAAAAATAAAAAAAAACTTATAAATAATTAATAATTGAATGATTTAATTAGATGTAGGTTTAAAAACTTTATTATAACTTTTTTTTGCGAGTCCTGACCAACTGCTGCATTATCGTCCATAGAAAATACCAAATTCGATATTAATTTTGGTGGAGTAGTGCTGTTCTCAGTCTTATTTAAAGCCAATTTATTATTTGCCACATTTTCTTAGAATAGCTGTGGCACTCAATAAATAAATAAAAGTAACAATTTTGTTTCTGTACCTATTTATACTCATTGCTAACCATTTATTGTGGTTCTTTATATTTTTTTCTTTAAATTTTCATCATTTGGGTACGTTTTAGTTTGTTGCTATAAGTTATTTCTATAATTTATCGAATCAATATTATTTTTATTTATCCAGTCTTCATAAGGTACATTTTAAATTTTAGTCTTACCTATTTTTTTTTCCTTCACCATTTTTGAAATGAAATTGTGTAGATAGTCAAAATCAGTATTGCTTTTAATGTAACTCTATTTCAAAGTACAAGCCATTATAAATAAATTTTATTATTAATGTATAATTAATAATAAATTATTAATTTTTTTATTTTTATTTTAAATGTATGTAGGTCAGATATATACATACATACAGCGTAAATATTTAAATAATCGTAACGCGTTTCCATTGCACTGTCGTCTTTAATTCAAAAAACTTGCACGACCCATAAAGAGTTAACATTAATTTCAAATAGGATTTTAGTGCAGCTCTCGCTCCACGTAAGGTCTGTTGTAATCGAAACACTTTTGTCGATCGCACTTAAAAACACATTTGCTCGTAGCGGAAATCTTTTAGATTAAAAAGAAACTGCACGGATTGAAATGTTGGTTGAGTAACTCTAAATAGGAATGATTGACGCAAAATGTACAACAAACTGCATATTACACTTGATAAATCAGAAGGTCGAGCAAGAAGTATCTCAATACAAAAGATGATCATTTAATTTCGTTGTGCATCTTTAACCCTGGTCGTTATCATGTTTTTATAATCAGTTCACTTCCACGGTGAAAAGAGAAGATAAGACTAACGAATAGTTTAAAAAACTTTCTAAATATGATATGTACAATAAATAAATGCTCGATTGGAAATTATTAGCGGTCATTAATAACTTACACTTCACCGTGGTTTTTCCAGAATCTTCCGGGCAAAATGAATTCGACGAGTATGACGGTACCCGTGCCTGACATAGTTGATCGGCAATTTAAGAAGCCCCTCTTTTGCGGCCCTGGACCTTGTGATGTGTGGCCCTCGGTAGCGGAAGCTTTAACTGGGCCCGTCTTATCTCCGATGTGCGACGAGTTGTTTAACGTCAGTAACAGACTTGTATATGATTATATTTATTCAAAGGATAACGTCATGGATGAATACCTAAAACTTATCGATAAAGACAAATCTTTCTCCTACATTTTTGAGCGAGGTAACCCTCGAAAAGTATGGCAACTGTTAGCCCGTGAGTGTTTTTAGTGTCCATGGTCTGTGGTTACTACTCAACAATAGATAAATTTGCTATCAAGGTTGTCGACAAACAAAACTGAGTCGTTGAAGTAAAAGACATCTTAATTTTTTTTAATACTATGGCCTATCTTTAAGCACTAAGGACAAATCTTTTTCCCCTTTTTTTGAGGGAGATTGCCCTCGAAAAAAATGACAAGACAAATGTTAGCCCATGGCAGTTGTAAGTGTCCATGGGCTATGGTTACTACTCCAACACAAGTTAATCTGCTATCAACATCGTCGACAGACATTGTCGACAGACATTGTCGACAGACGCTGAAGTAAACTACACTTTAATACTGTGATTGCTGTAGGTCTTCGATGACGTACGAGCAGGAATCCAGTATCTGTTCCAAACGCAAAGCAAGCTTGTCTTGGCGATGAGTGGCTCCGGCCACGCTGGTATGGAAGCAGTGATAAGCAATCTCGTCGGACCAAAAGAGACGATTCTCATCGCTACAAGAGGCATCTGGGATGAGCGAGCTTACAATATTTCAAAAAGATACGGTAATCTATTTTTCGTATTCACAAATTATAACTATATACACCAAAAACTGACTATTGGAAACTTACATTAATTTATTTTACGTAAATGAATAACACCAATTGATTTAACTTTTTCATGTAGCTGAATTTTGGGCCCATACCGTCTGAATAGAGATTGCTATAGACTTGAAAAGAAGAAGAATTTATTTATACTTTAATTTCTTTATAGGTATCAAGCCGATTGTGTATCGAATACCATTTAATCGGTCTTTTACCTTAGCTGAGCTTGAAACACAATTGAAAACGTATAAACCGACAGCGCTCTTTATAACCCATGGAGATTCATCCTCAGGGACTGTGCAGAAAATTGAAGGACTCGGGGAAATTTGCCATAGGTATATAAACATGTATCCATATATTCTCTTAATATTTTATAAGATTCCTATATATTATTACCGATTGATTTATTCTTTAATGATGAATGATTTACGCAACCACTATGACGAGGTAAAGCACAAGTAATACATTTTTATTAATGAAAAAAAACAGCCTTCAAATATCTCACTCACGATTTATAATAATTTGATATTGAAAAGTTCCCTAAGGTGTCCTGGAAGTCCAAGGCACAATACCAACGAACCCAATGAGAAATATTTTTTAAAATCGGTTCAAAAATGACTATAGACTCAGGCTATAAGTATAAAACAGTATAACCCAGTTAAGAACCATATTTGAAAACGATTAAAATCAGCCACATCCGTTATTTTGCAGTTTGGTGTATCTTGTTCATTCACCATACATAGTCATTGAATACGTATTCTGGCCGGAAGTCTGGAAACAACTGAATTATAATCAGATCGGATGTCTTATCGCATACGTAATATTTGTCTGCGATGGATATTGGATAGTTATCTAGTAGAAAACTCGCAAAGTCACGTGCGACCCTACCCAACCGTCGTCCGCCCCGCATGACAAGCTGTCTCGTTGCCGAAAATCCGCTTACTTTTTACGGAGCACAAAATGTTGCCTTTCTTATAGCGCAAAAGGGCGAATTGAATCGTCCATGACCGTGACCGAGACGCAGGCCAAATGGAAATTAATTTTGTTTCGATGCTCAAATACTTCTGTCGACGTGCCAATTAATTTAAAAACGTCGCAAACCGAATACCAATAGAATCTTAAATACATTCCTTAGGCGCTCCCTAATTAAGTCCGATCAATTAAAAGGGGCGGAGCAAATGAAATAATTAAAACAAATATTTTAACAATTATTAAACCATTATTATAAAAGTAAGCAGTACAATTACCTAGTAAATTATAGCTAATATCTCAAAATTTTTATTGCTCGATCGAATCGCTATCTTACTCTGATATTAGGGTAACTATGTTATACGTCATATTAATTTCTTGTATTTACGCGATTACTCATTACTAAATGAAACTATGTTTATGTATTATATTATTTATTATTTATCGCGTTTATTTTTGGTTTAAATTCCCGACGTTTCCTAACGTTAACGGCGTTTATGGTCACCGGACATCTACCACGTCGTATACTAATATTGATATATTAAATTATTTTCAATTATATTATCTACCAATATTCTAATTCATAATTTAGATATTTTATGTTAACGAAAAAAGATGTGGATTGGCTCACACAAGCCATTGGAATTTAATTCGAAGATCTATGGAAGGATAATCAGCTACAGTAAAGAAATGATTAATTTCATTACTAATTTAAACCCGCTCCCTAGTTATATTGAAAGTTCTAAAATCTAATGTACTTCTTTATATGTAATCAATTAATTCCCAAGACCTTTTCAAGACCAAAGAATTCGATATACGATTCCAAAAACGCGAAGGATCTGCGAAAAGTTTTTAATGATATAACAAAAACACGTGACAGACGATGTTGCGTATTGATCTCGCCCAATGGCGTTATTGCTCCAATTGCTCGGTTGGAATTAGCTGAGACTCGAGCGCCAGACAATTTAATTATGTCATCAATCTTTTTCACGCTCGCCGCGACTTTTTGCGGCGCGTTGTCCAACAACACTATCAATTTGAAAACTCTTTTAATTAAACGTCTCGAGTAGTTTACAACTGTAGCGAAACGGGGATAGACGGTGAAATATCACCGGGAACACTTTATCCTGACGGATCAAAAGATCACCATCGATCGTAACTAATCCCACGTGACCCGTTCTGAGGGGTGCTGTCTGTTGTTTTGAACATCTGATTCCTCGCAACATCACTTTCTACTGCTATTTACTGAGTCAATATTATTTAATAAATGATTATTAAGAGTACCCTCATATTACACTTTCGTGATTTTCACTCATCTCTTTTTTTAATTCAATTACTTTTTTTTATTAATGGCTTGCTTTGTGCGGTAACACAATTCTGCCAATGTCAAGATTTTGTTAAAATTCTCAATTTTGTAATATTCACATTAAGATTACAACAGACAAATAAAGGTTTCAAAAAAACGTCCAGTTTAGTTATTAAATCCACGTGCAAATTGTCAGTGACAATTTTCATATTTCAAATTTAATCAAAAGTAATAAGATTTTTTTGAACCGCTTACATTAAAAAAATGTGTAACTGCCAGGTGTCTTCTGGTTAGTCCCCTTTGGGACCAGTATAAGTAGCAGTGCGTAGAAAGTGTACATTTGTAGATAAAACTTAATCATTTCTACTTAAAATTTTCGCAGATACGGCACATTGTTGTTGGTAGACACGGTGGTCTCCTTGGGCGCAACTCCATTTTTCATGGACGCATGGGGTGTCGACGGCGTATATACGTCCACTCAGAAAGCACTTAGCGGACCAGCCGGTATATCTCCAGTAGCATTTAGTGCTCGAGCCGAGTGAGTTTTAAGCAATTCGTGTAACTTTTTTCGTAGCATTATTTAAAAAGCTACAACCAAAGAATCTGATGAAGATGCTCCGACGTGATTAGGCCCTCGAATATGATCGAACAATGAAGGTCCGAAGTAGTTCACTCACAGTCACAAGAACAGCGTGAAGAGGAAGCAATATACTTCTTAGTTCGTACGATGAGTGAGGTAACCCACTTTTTTTACAACGTGGCAACTCATACGCAACTTCACGGGTGTTAGATATTGGCTGCGTTTGTCACTTATAGTCAGGTGTACCGCGAGCTCACTCGCCATCTTCTTACATAAAGCCGTGTTTATAGGTTGTTTATTTACCCATATCTATATTTAAGAAATAAGCTCATCTATGCAGTCACTGTATGTTTATCACTGACATTATAAAAAAATGCAAAAAATGCAAGTTAGTTTTGCTTTCTATTTTCTTCTTTCGCTTCATTATTACCGTCTGACAACCTGTCGTTTAAAGCTTAATGTAGAATCATAGATTAATTGATAAGAAACTTGCAGCAGACAATACCCACGTATTCTCCGATTTTTAAAGAAAAAAAATTACGTCGATCTCAAATTTCGCAAACACTTTGATTTAAGTTAATGATTACTATCAGTTTGAACGTGTCAGAAACGGGTCCTGACGGATTTGCCATCTATTATTTCACATTCTCGACTCTTATCAATAGACTTGCTTTGTTGCTACAGGGAGAAAATAAATAATAGAAAGCACGAACCACCCTTCTACTTCGATATCAAATTACTGGCGAAGCAGTGGAATTGCTACGGGAATACAAAAGCGTTAGTATCCTCTGTTAATAGCGACACCTTTTATAAAATTTGTCTCTCATCAGATCATCATGAAACTTTGTACACACATTCTTATAGGTATTAATAAGGACATAGTTATTGAAAAAAGTATACCATCATCGGAAAAACTCTTTGAAGACGCATGGATACAAATTTGTTATTGACATGATAACCACTTAAACGATTATGAATCTTCTTTGATAAATAATTGATTATTATATGTCATTACATTAAAGCTGTCTTTGGAGACCTATATTCAGCAGTTAAACTTTAGTGCACTAATACAGGCCGAAATTGTTTTAAAAAATTATTCTAAAACATTATTTTTGCAGGTACCACCACACAATGTCGTCTCCTCTTCTTTGGGCGCTGCGATGTTGCCTAAGGCAAATTTGTCAAGAGACGTTGGAGAAATCTTGGGAGAGGCACGCTCGAGTAACCGAGTATTTCCATAAGCGATTACAGCAGCTTCCCGTAAGCTATCTAGTACCGAACCCTGAAGATCGCTTAGTGAATGTGGTAACGGTCGTGTTACCGGTTCATCTGACAAGTAGTTACCGCCCTTAAAGCAGATCTACGACAACTGAGAGGTTGGCAGATTCGCTATTAATCAGCTGACGGTTAACCTGAAGGTAAGTGACAACCGCGGCCTATTGACATATGCAACACCCGTAGGGTTGCAGATGCCTTGTTACCTTTAATAGACTGAGTCCCGGCCACCTCACTCACCAGACTAAACGCAGAAGTATGACACTTCACACCGGTCTCTCGTGAAACCATGGTACCTCTCAGAACGAGCCTGCTAATTCGTGCAACAGACGAAGCTGCTGCGTGGCCATACCACAGAAATCAGGCCTCTTAAACGAGATAGAGTTGTGTCTCCTGGTGGAATTAGGAATCTCTTTGGAAAGAACCCGAGTTCTAAATTTACTATCCAGAGCAACACCAACATTTCATCCTTCCTCCTTGCTTCCAATTTAGTCCTCCTTGTTTAACTTAACTACTAACTACTCAATATAAATATTGACTAAAACTTGAACTTTTCTTCATCTTCTCCTCTAGTCATGTAAATGATGAAATGAGGTTCCCGTTCCTCACTATTGTTTACTGCACTACTGTTTACTGTACTCTACAGCAGGGCCACGCACCAACTCCTACTATTGACAAATGGACAGGCTTATCCAATGAAGGAACACAGCCCCACATAAGTAAAGTGCAGATGGTTACACTTTAGCGTAGCCAGGGTCCACCTAAAAGGTTGTTAGGCGTTGCGGATGTAATTGTGCGGCAGTAATAACCTAACATCAAAAAAAGTTTTGTGCTCCAGCAGTCCTATTTTTATATAGCTTCAATTTCATAAATATGACAGAAGGGGAAAAGGCAGGTTGAAAATACCTTTCTCATAAGGTGAACATTAGAGGAAATAAAAGAAAACAACGGTTTAGAATTCACAGGTAATTTTATTCGTACTAAATCTGTCGTTGGTTCACAAAAAATAAGTGCAATCTATACAGATCATCAATAGATTATACAAAAGTACTAAAAACAAGATAACTCTCGTGTTCGATAATCAATTCATATACTTATTGTATCAAAAAAAAAAACAAATGATAGCCAATACAACGTGAATATAACACTATAATACATTCACAATTTTGATGGACTAGAAACCCACAACAGAAACGCGAAATTTCATCTTTGACAAAACATTGAAAAAAATATTTTTTTTTTGGTAATGTCTCACGATATCCTCAGCTTCTAAAAAAATAATAATGCCGTACAAACAAAATACTTTAAGCTGTGACTTAAAACTAAAATAACTGTAAAAACTAAATATTTCATAGTTCAAGACAGACATATCTCTAGCTACATGGCATTCATTTCCATCACATCGAAACATTTGGACTAGCTTTCTTAATTACGTAACTATATTTATCTAGTAATTAAACAAAACTAGTCGCGATATTCACTTATGACTATCTTAGCTAAAAGTTTAATAGCAGCGTCCACAAATATAATCATTATTATAGAATAAAACGTAAACACGTACAATACATGATTTAGTTATATATAGCGTAATACGAAGTTATTTACAAACCTTATTCATATGTAACATTAGATTTATCAAATCCTCAACAACGCTGCGTAAGAACTTAAGAGTAAATTGAACCGATTTATACTAGAACGCGTGATTCGTACATTCACATGAAGTTACTAAACAGTCATAAATACGATGCTGACGGCAAATGCACAAAACTAAAACTTAATATAAGATTAAACGACCTCTGTGATGATTCCGCGCCAGGTACAACCCCGACGCCGAGTTCAATATACACTAGATTATAGAACACGTAAATAAATACCGACGCAATAAAAATAGTTCATACGAAATAATTTATATATTATTTACATTAAGAGAATATGGCACATCTTTAACGCCTAACAATCACGCCTGGTGTGACTTGGGCGGCACGCGGTCGGCGAGCGGCCCCGAGCGATGAGCCTTTTCGAAATTCCGCGACGCCATCTTGTTGCCAATTATAATACCGGTGGGAAGCGAATGATAGGGCCCGAGCCGTTTCGGCCGACCGGTGCACTTTCGGATCGCGGGATACATATAGTATATCAGTCTATAGAGCGAAGCGTTCACTCACTTAGCCTAGGCCGCGGGCCAGTTGAAAGCAGTAGTCCGAATTTTGGCGCGAAAACCTCGCGAACGCGCTCGCAACGTCACTCCAACCGTTCCAATCGATCTAACAGATGTTTTAACAATATTTTAATAGGGAGAAGAAAAGCATAGCAGCTTAAAGGTGTATAAGATAGAACACTTGTGTATTATTGCGAAAGTTAGTCGCAACAAAAACGTAAGGCACACAAGAAAATACTCGTACCCGAATTTTTTACAATAAAAAATTGCATGCGTGCCTTCTCCACATATTATGCGCAAACCAAACCATTATTTATTAAAATAAATTTCATACATGATGACTCATTAAACAACATGACTTGTACCTACAATTTACATTTCAGCCGATACAATAACAGCTGTTCTAATTAGTATGCAATCAGTATCGGCGATATTACGTAAATCTGTTGCAAAATGTGAATAGAAAATATCGATCAGTAAACATTAATTTCGAAAAGATTTCTGTTAATCAAAATCGGTTTCAATTTTGAACAATGTTCGTAGCAATTTGAGAGACGATGCTGCCGTTTCGATGTTTCTCCAGCGACGCCCTTTCTGTAGTTATCAGTACGTATTCAATTCGAATGTGGAACGCAAACGTACTGCTGTTTGCGGCCCGCGGCGTTACCTTGGCGACGCGGCGCGGCGTCCGGCGCTCACCTGGGCGCGTGGCGCGGCGCCCTCTGGCGGCGGTGGCGGGTGCACGCGCAACACGAGTCGCCGCGACGCCGCCGCGCGCACGCCGCACGGCCGCAGCGCTTACGCACGCACGTCACTTCACCGTCCTGAGCAATAATGAAGTTTCATCATATCAGCACCATCCAGTCATATAAAGCGGCATATGTAGTGAAGGAAAAGAAAGGAAAGCTAGCCGTGGTAACTCATTGTCCAGGCACTCGCTTTTAATTCAATATACTCGAGCCACCTGAGTACATTCTTGTACCGACGCCAATTAAATCATTAATTGCAATTTTAGGCGACGTCTTATGACTTGATCAGTGGTGAAAGAAAACAATGTGAGGAAACCTGCATATTTTCGAAATAATAAAAAAATTCAAAGTTATGTGAAGCCCGCCAATTCGCGGTGGGGTCGTTGGTAAAATAATATGCCACTATAAATTTTGAAAAGCAGTTTCTTAACTACAATAATAAAAAACAAAGATTTTTATAGAGGTCAACCTTCAGACAAAGCCCGCAAATATTAGGATGGGTCTATATTGTGCTTGTGCTTGGTAAGCAATGAGTAAATGCAGTACGTTAATAGTTGATTTCCTTCTTTCTACCAAATATTATAACGACGTCTTGTCAGCAAGAATTTTCCAGATTTTATTTTACAATTCCATTTTTTTTTTCTTTTTTAAAACTCACCCTACGCAATCACTAAAAATATTCACTTTTTTATTTGATAAATAAATAAATAAAACAATATTAGTTCATTTGGAGGGTCGGGTAACTCCGAGATGTAGAGTCCTTTTACAAACACAAAACAAATATTAACAAACTTGATTGTAAAATAATTTTCTCGGGTAGAATTTGAAACCTTACGCTTAGCAATTGCGCTAACCGAGAGATCATCATCACCATTAATGCCTAAACAAAATTTTCATTAAAAAACCGTACCTTGCAGCGACATGTTACGCATCTCTGCTCGCCGTGTGAGTGTATTGAGGGATGCACCTCCTTGCCATTGGGCAAAGGCCCATCAGGGAACTTGCACCCTCCCTCCGCCAATATCTCTTCTGGGGTTCTTGGCGCTCCCTGATCTTTCGGCGTTTCTTCCTCAACTTTCTTCGTCTTTTCCTGCAAGTAGAAATAAATTGTTATTTCACACAAACCAGTTTAGTTCTTTCTCCCGCGTGTATTTCAAGTGTGGACTTGGGAGCCAACTATTCACCAGTTACTCCCTGTCCTCGTCCTTAATGCATGACCGCTAGGCTGACTGACCTGTTCCGTGCGTACAAAATATAGAAGATAACCGAACTTCAATAGAGAACAGAGCTGATTGTCCATTGAACGTTTGACAGTTGCGCACGTCTCCTGAGGTGTACTTGTGCAGAGAGAATTAAAAAGGATTTCTAAGCCCTATCATTTCTGTGGTAAGGCCACGCAACAGTTTTTGATGTCGCACGAATGAGCAGGCTCATCCTGGAAAGTACCACGGCCTCACAGAATTAAAACATAGTGAGAAAATGTGCATTTTTTCGAAATTATAAAAAAAAAATATTTCGAAGTGAATCCGCCGCGGCGCCGCGTGGTGGACTATGCCCTGATACCCTCTGCATAGGGGCCCTACCCATCAGTGGGATATGTATAGGCAATGACTTTTGTCACAAACGGACAACGGTCGACCCACCTCCGGGCAGACTCGGCAGCAGGCCTTCTTGTCGGGCCGGTAGGCGTCCTTCTCCGCGCACCGCAGCGGCGGGCAGCGCGCCCTGGGGCAGCGCACCTGGCGCGTGGCGAACTCGCACGTGCACACCGCGCACAGGTCGTAGCCGTCGGGCACGAGGTACGGGTGCCACGAGGAGCCCGGCGCGTGGTACTGCCCCGCCAGGTGGCAGCCGTGCGACTCGTTCCACACCGCCGTCGTGGAGTCTGACGAACGGGCGGGAGGGGTTGGGGGTTTAAATTTATTGATTCATTTATTTCTCTGTTAGTTGATTAGTTTATTTATTTTTTTGGTTTATTTATTTAGATCGTACTTCGTGGCCAGTCTGTTCAGGTGTATGTACAGAAGTGGACTCAAACGGAATGATTATGATGATGATGTCTATTTCTAATTATTTACTTAGTATTTATGCACAAATATATATCAGGCGAACTTAATGCCATCAGAATTATCCGCCAGTCAGTCTTGGGGTTCTTTACTGGATATGAACGGTATCATTCTTGCCTTCTTTATTATTTTTGATGATCCTATTCACAAACGCTGAAATCATTGACACAGACCACTAATAAACATCCAGATCTTAAATAAAATTAAAATTCAAATACAGATCGGTACTATCAGTTCAGTTCAAGATTTCTGAGTATAAGTATCATACATAACAGCACAATATTTGTGCAGCGGTAGAGAGCGTGAATTTACTATATATGAGTTCAATAGCGATGATATGTACTGAAATTTTATTTAACGCTTAACCATCATCTACGGTAAAATGCAAATACAAAATAGTAAAATTGAATGGTTTCCACTAGCTAAAAAGGCGTTTGCTAAGCAATGGTACAATAAAAGCGTGTAACGTCTGCACTCTTTTATCTAGTTACGAATGTAGTGATGATTTATGATCCCGACATGATGATGATGTTAGTAAACTTACTTGTACAAATGGGGCAGCATTGTCCGGGAGGTTGTATGGTCGGTACGGCGCAATTAACAGGCGGGCAGCGGACGGGGTCACAACGTAAAACTCCGTGCACGCATCCGCACATGTGACAAGACTGAAAATTATAAGACATATTTGGATTGTTCTGTGTGAGAAGGTTTACGTATGCGGTAGGGCCACGCAGCAGTCTTCGGCGCTGCACGAATGGGCTGTCGAATAGATCCGTGCGGGGAAGTACAACGACCTCACAGAACCGGCGTGAAGTGGATGTGTTATACTTCTGCGTTTCGTCTGGTGAGTGAGGGAACCGGAGCCAACGTTATTGAAAGGTGGCAAGGCATATGCAATCCTACGGGTGTTGCAAATGTCCATGGGCGGCGGTTATCACTTAACATCAGGGGAACCGCCAGCTCGCTTGGCATGGCTCACATAAAAAAGGTGGAGCATTCGGTTCAAATGTTGCTAAGTGATAACCGCTACCCATGGACGTCAAGGATGTTGTATCCGAGGAGATTCAGATGCTGCGCGCAACGAGTGTAGTGTGGGTTAAAGGAGTGGGCCAAGGTTAACTCACTCACCGAGCGAAACGCAAAAGTACAATACTTCCAATCCCTAATCAAAGGTCGTGGTCCTCCCCCGGACGAGAGCGCCATTTGTAAATTGAATATGAAGTTATTCCTAGTATAAATAAAGTAAAAAAAAAAAGAATCAGCTTATACATGTCCCGCTGCTGGGTAAAGGCCTCCTCTGTACAGAGGGTATCAGGGCATAGTCCACCACACGGCCCCACTGCGGAATGGCGGACTTCACATATCTTCGAAATATTTTTATTTTGTTATTATTTCGAAAATATGCAGGTATCCTCACGATGTCTTCCTTCACCGCTGAGTTAAAATTGACGCTATTGCCTTCATCGCTACTTAAAATTGACAATTTCATTGGTGCTGGCACCGGGGATCGAACTCAAGTTGCTCGAGTATATTAAATTAAAGGCGACCGCCCGGACCTGAACTATCACGGCTCTGTCGTGCCTAGTATAAATGTAATATACAAATTATACGATCAGTCTATTAGAGGTATCTCGTCTACTACCATGTATCTATGGAACAGGGTGACTGGTTGGATATTTACATCGGTGGCCATCCATTGCGCTCCGTCCTCGTAGAACCGTCCGGCGTAGTAGCAGTGAGGCGGTGTTGGTTAACGAATTGTCGGGAGGGGGCGCCTCTACGTGCGTCGGCGAGTAGCTGGCCCCGAGCTCATTGTCCGAAGTCCATGGCACGGTCGGTAAGCAAGATGGCGGCACGCTTATCTGTAAACGACAATGTTCATAATTTAAAAAACGAGTGATGTTTTAAGAGTTATGACACTATTTGAGTTGTTATTAGTTCTGATGTGGACTCACCTCATCTCTTTTACATTTGGTAGCGTGTAACAATTACAAATTTAACGTTAACATTAATTGTGTATACAAAGAATAAATGTGTAGTAAACTGTCTAGTAATTCAATAGTTACCAACGTTTTCTAGGGAAAAATCAAATACGCTAGATATACACATCAAATACTGTGGTTCATACTGAACATTCATCAGTCACTTTCATAAAATATTTTTTTTTTTAATTTTATAAAATATATTAATTCCGCGTCCTTAGGCACTACTTTCACATACATACACCTTCGAAAATACGAGTACTCTCCCAGAATCCGTGGAGGCGTCACGACCTTCGGCAGCAGAAGGGAACGCCAATTAAGTGTGGCAATTTTACATAACATAGATACCTGAGTACGGTACGCCCATAATTAACGCACGCATGAGTACATGCGCGGCCCTACTCACCGGGGAGGGCCTCAAACCCGTGCGTTCTGGCTAGCCCACCGGTTCTGCGTTCGATGAAGCTTTAATAGTCTAAGGACTGAATGCGTAACATCAGTTACACAAATAAAATACCTGGGGTACGCGCGTGCGCAGGACTTCGGTGACGTTGTCCGCGGCCCGCACGTTGAGGTAAGCGGCCCCCGCGTGCAAGGCCGCCAGCTCTACGGGTGTCGGCTCCAAAACGCACCCCTCTACGCCGGGGAGGGGGCGCGCGGCCCCACCGCCCCCCGCGAGCCCCTCCAACCACGCTGACCAAGAGCCGGCCGCACCACTCACAACCACCTGGAATACGTTCGCCATTAATTCTTGTGTGATAAAAAGAAACAAGCGCTGCATTTCTGCGGCTTATGACGAGACCGTCCCTTCCGCCAGGTCATCACAACACACATAATTTATGTAGATTTCCTCTGCTGTAAGTCTATTTATTAAAACAGAATATTTGTATTGTGTTAATTTAAATAATTGTTATTATGACCAGAACTACTTTAAACTATTTTTAATTAATATCTTCTGTATTTTCTTTAAGATTTCTGAATATGTTTTGTGTAGATGAAGGTACTACAGCTATCCCAATGGATTATATAGTAATTATAAGTGTTATAACGTTCATCCATAAGAAAATAAATGAGTGTGGAGTTTTCTTGATAGCTGTGGAAACAATACGTGTTGGATACAGTGGTAGACGGGTTGTTTTAGACAACTTTAAATTTGTGGGCTGTGTTTTTCTTTATTCGTGCTGTGAAAAGTTTGTAAAAAATGTTCATACTCAATTCGTATTATGACAGAAGGCAGTACGAAAGACGTCTTCATTGCCCTTTATTTCAGTAGATAAAGTTATGAGTATAAAATTTTCCTCATCAACTAATTAATCATGCGCAATCGAAATGAATTAAACACACACAAAGGCATATGATCAATACATAATTAGGACGGTAACTACGGACACGAAACAAAATACACAGTACCTCGTAATGTACTCCGCAAAGAGTGTCGACGGAGACCCAAGCTAGACCGGCCATTGGGGTCAGACTTGTAGGGGTCCTGGCATCAGTGCGCCTGAGTAGCGCGGGCCCAGCGCTCGCTGCGTCCGGAAGGGAACGTGACAACAGCCTTCCACGGAGTAAAGGCGGCCCTGAAATATAAAATTAATTATACACTACAGTCAATTCTGCTCATCACAGAGATCGCAATGAAGATAGCCACAGAAGAGCAAAGGTAAACGACATAGCTCAGAAAATTGGTAAGATGAAGTGACAATGTCCATATCGATCGTAGAACTGATAATCGATGGGGAAGAAAGGAAGGAAAGGCAGCTTCTTATTCGCCATCGCAGTATAGGACGACTCCCACTAAATGGAGCTATAATCTACGCAAATGTGCGGGATGTCGATGGATGCAGATGATTCATTATGGTGCTGTATGGTCGTAACTATATGTGGGGAGGGACTGTGATCAGCAGTGAACTTTAATCGGCTTGAATAATGATTATAAGAATGACGAAATCTGCTCCGTGAGTTCTGCCCATGCGCCGATAAGAGCTGACTGACATTTAAAAAATGTTTACTCATGAAAGCAGCGTTGTTCGCAGCAATACACCGTACAGGGGGTACGAGTGCGTAAGCAATATTGAAGTCGAACGAGAATAAGAAGGAGAAAGTAATAATTTTGATTTTCGTCTTGCGAATGAAATAAGGATAGATCGATTCGTCCTTTGAAACGTTGACAATGCGATGTAACTGGTGTGGTTGCGTTCTATAAGAAGCGATGATCTTAGAGGATATCATTAGGTGAATCGCTTGGCAGTTTTCAACTTTATAAAAAAAAAATAAAGCAAAGCACAGATCTTTCGTTGAATCTCCAGGAGATCTCTGTGGCGTGGATTAATGGTTTTTATGTCCTTGAAGGTAATAGAAAATCACCCCGTTCATCTCTCGGATATGTAACCTACTTAAATTTAAAAATTTGTCACTCACACAATTGAGAAAATTGATATACCTACAAACAAAGAATTTCTTTCATTTATTCTCCTGCCCTTATCCCACCTAAGATGGGGTCGAAGGCGCCGAAGAGCGTATTCGCAACTGCGCAACAGCGTTATCAATACTCTAAGATTAAGAAGTGTTAAGGAATTTTTACATTGACTTTTAAACAATCTTACTATGGTAGGGCTACGCCGCAGACTTCGCTGTAGGAATGGGCAGGTCTAATCAGGCGTGAAGTAAGAGTTTAATACTTGTGTTTTGTCTGGTGAGTGCGGTAGCCGAGGCCCTTTATTAAAATTTGGAAATACGTCTGCAACCATATTGGTATTGCAAATGTCCATGGGCGGCAGTTATCACTTAACATCAGGCAAACCACACACACGCTCGCTTGCCAACTAGTCACATAAAACAAAAATTAATACCTGAATCGGCGCCGATGTGCACAGCCAGTTGATCTTCGTACAGCGGTGGGAAAATACGAGCGCTGGGTCTTGCCAGAACGCCCACGCGGGTGTCCAATATCTCCACCTGAGAGTGCCGTTTGCCTTGTTCCTCGACCAGCGTTATTTTTGGGTCGGCTATCCCCAAGTTGTCGACCTATAAACGTTAAACCAATAATTCGAATGGCTAATCTGGGAAAAACGATTGAAATGCGTCGTTTTCTCTATTAACGTGTTTCGTTAAACTAATATTAGTACTGATTGATTTATTAATTTAATTTTTACTTAAAATCTTATTTAATACTAAAAAAGCGTAATTTTTTAATTCAATAACTACTGAATTTTATATTGGTTCAAGACTGTTGATTTTCTATTTATTTTCACTTATTCAAGATATTAATCGCCAAAAAGGATTACAAACCGTTTATCTTTGTTATCAATCATAGGTACCTTTTGTTTCTATAATCCTTAATTGGCTCAGATGTCTCTAGCGATAAGCATACCTTTAAAATCTGAAATACCATTAAATTACTGATAAATGTATAAATAAGTTTTATATATTTAATACCTGTATGTCATATACAAGAGATCCTTCTTTATCTATGTAAATCAGGGCAAGTCCTTCAGGGGCGGGCGACGCTGGCGCCCTCTCTGCCATCAGAGAAGCGTGGTAAACTTCACATGCAGCTTTCTGACGCACAGCACCCGTTATACGACGATCAACCGTGCCAACCTCTTCTACTGTCAGCAAAAGCCTTCCCCGTGACAGTGATCTCAGTTCCGCGGCGGATACCGGAGTGGACACCTCCAGTACATTCATTTCGTATCCCGGCTTTGGAACTTTCTGGATCTAAACGAAAATATGATTCATTAGCTATTAACTCTAGTAGCCTCTTTAAAGATTACGGCGATAACTTAGTAAACTAATACTACCACAGTAATAACTATTCAACTTCTAGTAATTGTTTAATGTTAGACAGCAAATTTATTTCGCTTTTTATGAGCTTGTCATTATAGTCAAAGGGGTAGATGGAAAAATTAAGCATTCAAGACCAATAAAGTTAATAATTTTAGCGGATTTTTTTATTATTTGTTTAAATATAACTAATAATAATGCAATGGTAATCATAATATTAATAAAATGTATATTTTACATACTACTAATACATATATAAATACAAAATTTTGTGTGGAAGGATCTATTGTAGTCTTCACTTCGAAAACATTGCTCCTTACTGCAGGACAACATAAATTTCACGTGGACCAAAATCCAGTTTCGAATCAATTATCTGTGGATCTCACAGACAGTTGTCTTATGTGGGAATCGAGCCCAAGACACCCGGCTCCGAAGTCAATACATTGGCAACTGCGCCACGGAGCCATCGATATGTATAATTATTACATTAAACTCTTGCGTTTCTAGAACATGAAGGGCTATCAAAACGCAACGCAACTCTATAATGGCTATAATAACGGCTTTAGCGTTCGGATTTGCAATCGCATTTACAATTTATGCGTCAACTACAAAATGACAATCACCTCGTCAATAATCGTCTGGTTTCGCTCGGGCAGCGTGAGCAAGACCCTGACGGACTGGTCTCTAGCGGCGGGGGCGAAGATGCCGTTGTAGATGATGGCCAGGTGGAGGCTTGGCGCGGCGCCGGCCGCTCCAGTGACTATGGCGGTGCCCCCCCACCAGCCGCCCTCCTGGCCCGGCAAGCGGTAGTCGTCACAGGCCCCGTTGCCAATGGAAACGGGCGGATGCTCCGGCTCCAATAGGGAAGTGAACATCTCCGTGGACAGAGCTGGATATCTATAAGACGATGAAATACATACTGTGTCTCCTTGTGCCCGTGTTGTATACACGGCAAAAGAGACACAGTATCTATGATCTTACGAAGCACAGTTTTGTTTATTGCAGTGCAAATTTAATCTTTCCTTATCCTACCTATAGGCTGTGTCGTTAATGGAATGGCTGAGTTTTTACGACCGACCGCATGCCTTGGGTCAACAAACACCCAAATTTGTAACAATTATCCGTGATTCACAAATACTCGTCACATGTGGGAGAAGTATTTGTGAACAAAAGCCAATGGCTAACTACGCCACCGAATCAGTACAAACCTTAATTATTTAATTTTTATCCATATTTTATCATGAATTTTATTATTGGTAAGCCTAGTTTAACTTTATTACAACTTTATTAACTACCTTTAATGTTGGTTTGCATTTAGTTTGGTTCTAATACACAATGCTCGCGAATCGTTAATATGTTACCGGAATGGTAAATGAAATAATCTGCACGGAATGATACAAATCACACGTGCCAGAGACATACCTATTAATACGACCACTTAAGGCCTTGTCCATGGAATTATTGCGCTCGTCGCCCCAAATCAAAGCCACATAAAGAGACCCGTCTCTCAATAAACGCTTGTACTCCCTTGGCACTCGACGCCAGACGCCACACAACTGCAAAAAATGAACAATTTTTAGTTTCATACGAAGAGTACAATCATCATCATCATCATTTCAGCCTGTTTGAGTCCGCTGCTGAACATAGGCCTCCCCCATAGACTGCCACGAAGTACGATCCTAAGCCACCTGCGACCAAGAATACCCAATACTTTCACACATTTAAATTGGTGACTACTTTGTTTATCATCTGGATCTACTACTACTACTGTAGTTTTATTATTTAAACGGATATTAATCCCCGGAAAATCATCATTAAGTGTTAATTTTTTTAAAGATACCCTGACTGAGGGATTTATGTGGGGTTCGTACCCCCTCGTAAAACCTGATCGGTGGCCACCTTCCGTACGTTTGGAGGGACTCCGGTATCTCCTACGGAACGCGCCAGTGTCCCTCGGTACTGCGCGTGAACACGCCACGGAGAAGGATAAACTTTCCCCGATTCCTTCTCCATCTTGCTCGAGACCTTTTCGTACTGTTTCCAGTCCACATCCCCTTTAACCCGACTTTTACGACACACAGGGGATGCCTAAGCCCTATTCTACGAGTGACTGAGACTACAGGGCTGAAGTGTTGTTGAACCTACTAATGGACCAGTAAAATTAAGTTTGTTACTCACTTTATCAGTTTTCTCTTCGTAAGTGGCGTGAATTCCGGGCGATCGCTTCAGCGGGTGCTCCAGCAACATCCTGCCGCCTCTATCGAGGAAGGAGAGGGCGCGCGGCTGGGCCGCAATCGAAGGGCCCAGTAGCACAGACCAATAAAGATGGCGGCGGCGGAACGTGAAGCGCGCGGTCGCTACGCCATGAGCCACTGGCACGCCCGTCATGTCGTCACGTCTTATGCACAGCGGAGACCTCCCAGTCAACAGAGCTCCGAAATCTGCGACATAATATATCACGGCTTACTTTAAGCCAATGCCTGTCATTGCAAAAAAGCTATCCACCCTTACGTTTCATGCTGAGCTCCTCCTCCTCGCCGCCGGTAATGACAACCGTCGGACTGTCCTCTTGCACAATATCCGGCGCTGCAAGAAAGCAATGACTCCATTTATTATGAGGAAACGTAATGTGGTGAGCGCATCGAAAGCACGAGCTCGGCTCGCCTATCTGCAGTGAACTAAAGGTAATAAATTAATACGCTTGTGTGCACCGACGTCGTTTAGAAATATCTAAAGCGCTGGGAATAAATAGAACAAGGCATAGGCAATTTCACATGTACATAAACAGCTATATCAACACTTTCACCGCACTCGGCCGTATGTTATAAAAACATGTCGCTGGATCAATTGACGATTGGACGTGTGGCGAGACGGTTCGCAAGACCTCCCCGACCCCACCATTCGGGTTGATTGGATCAAGTGTTATTCAATCGTAACAGGATCGGCGTCTAGACGGCGACGGCAGAATTTGTGTTTTGCATAGCTTTCTTGTTTGATTTGCTCTCGACGAAAATAGAGAGTGCGGTGACATTTCGCGCGGCGCTTTCAAAGCGCCTTATCGCTGCGTATTGGCTATTATCCCTTTTGCTCGTTATGTCGCACTATTGAAAGTGTGTTTATGTAATGCATACGGCGACTGCACATTTATTGTTCACATAAATAACTACAGCGTATATATTACACTGTTGATTGTAAGCTAATCTTATAATACGATCAGCATGGTGTACACTTAACGGAATTACGTCACGCTATTTCGCAACTTCTTTGGTAGCGCTAATGATTTAGCAGAGCTAGCAACCAAGAACATAAAACAACATCGTAAACAATGTGTCACGATCCGAGCCGCAAATCATATGTTTGAAACGTGAGGTCACATGCGATTATCGGTTCAGTAATGATGTATAAAATAGGCTAACTATGGGTGGGTAGCCTCAGTTTGCTGTGATGAGCGGACCTGTTTACACTTGTCTGAGGAAGATTGCGATCTGGTGCGGCCCGGCGCCGACATTCATATTTCAATCTGTGAATTCATTTAATACTCGAGACAGCCCTAAATTTATTGGCAAACACGGCGCCAATGCGGCGACGGGATGGTCTAGGGTATTTGCAAATAAAATATATAGTGAAGGTCCAATAAATAATCTCCGTTACAAATATTTATAATGCGGGCGAATGCCAAGCCGACTAAAATATATAATCCCTGTTAGCGATACATTAAACTCAAGGTCGACGCGTAACGGAGATTTACTGCGCTAATTAAAATGTGTTTTGTTAATGACGCCGTTGGGGACGGGCGCCCGGTGTAATTGAAGACTTGTTATTACGACTTAGCGGAACATTGTTTTTTTATTTGTGTATAAATAAGTGACTTTAGTCCTACCCGTGCCGTACGCAAAGGCGGCCACGACGCGCTGCGGCGGCGCCGAGGCACCTTTGACTCGACGGGGCTCGGCTCGGCGCTCACGCACACTGCTCGCGTGTCGTATTTAATACACACACGGACAGTCCAATGCCTATGAGAATTTTCTCAGTGTTCGGCTCGTTAATGTACATAAACGTCTTGTGTCAATTCAAAGTTTTTCGAAAGCGGCGCTTAGCGGCTACGTGAGGCGAATTAATGTCGGGACCGTTTCGTTCGCGGTCTAGTCTCGACCTAAAATCTTTAGGCCTCTCGGACGCGGCGAGTTTTCCAATGGCATGATGTAACCGGGCGCCGACGTGGGGGCTACGTGCCCGATTGATACAGTGAATACGCCGCGTGCACTACGCCGACATCAATAATTCATTCGATAGATGTAGCGTAACGAAAATGCCGGTAGATGCGCGGCGGTGCCCGAGAAATTCTTGTTTTTTTTTTTTTTTTTTTAATTATTTAATATGACGGACCCAAGCGAGATGCGGTTCACCTGCAGATGATCAGTAATAGCCGCTGCCCATGGACACCCTCAACGCCCGTAGGGTTGACGATGCGTTACCTAAATTTTAATAAAGTGGGTTACCTTACTCACTAGACGAAACACAAAAGTTCAGCACTTCCACTTCACCCGGACTTCTGTGAGGTCGTGGTAGTTCCCCGGACGAGCCTGCCCACTAAGGCATCAGCTACGACAGCTGGGTTGCGCTACCGCTGAATTTCTTAGTTTATTGCAAACGGGGACAGTCAGTACCGAGCCTTAGACGCGTCACTTTGCCAACTACCAACCGGCCGGGAGTGGCGAAGCTGTCGCGACAGCTAACGGTGAGCCTAACGCAAGGCACCGCGGAATCCGCGAGCCACCAAAACAAAACTAGCGGACCCGATAAGTGGCGCCAGTGCACGCTTTGATGCGACCACTAAGTCTCGACTTTATCGGGAAATTAGTTGGACCGTTGCACCCGACGCGACGGGCAATTTACGACGAGAAGCTTCGAGTTGCGCATTTAGACGCTGTACGTGTATCGGATTCCTACATGCGACTGTTTTTATGCCTATTTACCGAGTTCCATAAATATTCATGACTTTTAAGGGAGCATTAGGTTAAGCAGATAAGTGTATTGCATAAACAAGTGCAATCGATAAGCAATGCAATAATTTACCTCTATAACTGGTAGCGAGTAAAAATATATATGTATGATAATAAAGATCCTTTTGTTCGAGCTTAAGAATTGCTATATTTTTTGTTGCGTTCAACGTTTTTTGGGTAAACGTAGTTCACATAATAGTAGAAAATCGTGATGGATGCTTTCCAAGACGACTTCTGATACCATAAAATATTTAAAAATGTATGTAAAAGTTGGAGAAATTCGAAAAATGTATAAGTAAAGATGGAGACCATTCAGCACATCCTATAGCTTTATCCAGAAGGCAGTGGTTCGAAAATGCAATAATTATTAACAATAATTACTCAATTCTGTTTGAGTTTGGTCTTACAGAACCGAAAAATTCCAAATTATAAATGTAAATCATAATAAAGAAGTTCATAATAAAGATATTTATATTCAAATAAAAATATCATCTTTACACCACATAATGAACCTTTAATTAATACAAGTAGTTTCCGTATCCAATAGTAATGATATTTCAAATGACTCAGTAAGTAATTCAAGGTTTGAGGAAGGTCACTCTCGGCCACTTCCGTTGCATTCTGGTTTTTAATCTCTTCACAGTAGTACTTTTATAAGATAAGTTTTAATTGTTTTAAATGGTGAAACTTCTTGACGTTTATGCGTACAAATACGTTAAAGAGTAACCAGGAATGAATTGCTAATCCATCAACCTTAAACTACCGGATTCAATGTTTAAGTTAAACAAAGTACAGGGTAATTAGCGAAGTTGCTAATGAGCATTCGTCGTCGCTTTCCCCTGTTCTCACTAACAAATTTCCCGCAATGCAAATTTTTCTTGACAACATTAGAATATTATTACGGGGATCCGCCATAAATCTCTGTACCGTCGTAACGCTCTAGGAATTTCGTTATGACTCACGGATTATGTGCATTCTATAAAAAAGTTTCAAAGCGAAACTATCATAAATATCGAGTTACATAATTTTTTTTTTAATTTTATTCCGGTCCTCGGATAATGTCTGTCTGATCTTGTACATCGGTTCGATGTTATGTTGGATGACGCGAAAATAACTCGACGGCGCGGCGGCGTGAAAAGACGAACGCTTTCTACAATTATAATGTCCGAGACACCTTGACCTGGGCGGGCGTCGCGAGTGAAAATTATTTCAACGAAACTATTCCAAACAAGTGACGCCGGCACGGGTGACGTAACCCACCTAAGACAAGACATGCGCTGTTGACTGAATGCCTCGTTCTGTCACCTCATGTCACGTAGAGATCTAAAGGTTCCCGCCGAGAGTTGTAAGTATGCCAGGAAGTTCGAACTTTTATCATTCGAAAATATTTCGGTACGGAAACGTTAGCACTCTCAAATTAGACACGTCTACTACATACGCACAGTTAGCAAAGGTTTTTTTCTATAGTTTTAAAGATATTTTTAAATCGCTATTCAGTGGAGCTGGCAACAATCAATAAAGCTGCTCAGAGGCTAATAAAATACTCGACCCAATTAACGGTTAACCTACTTGCGGTTCAAACAAACTCGAGATAACATTGATACCATTGTTTTATTTTGTTTGCGATTCCGTTATCGGGATCAAAACCGAGTGAATCTATTAAGGCTTCAATGACCCAATATTAATAATCAATGAATTATTCTCACAACAATTACAGACGATATGAAAAGTGCGTATCATTTATCATGTCCCCTATTACGTATTTTTTATGAGATTGCGTTTGCTACCGAATACGTATTACACGTAATGCACGTCAGATGTATATCAATTGTCATTCACCTTTCATTATTCCCGATGAAATAAATTTTCATGTATTTCATAATCGAGCATTATTCCACTTCCAACGAATACCAGTCATTTAGAAGAATACGAAAGGTTTTCGTTTTTCACGTTCAAAATGCAAAAAGACAGATAATCAAATTCAATTGGTTTTCATCACAAATGTTGTTAGGACGCCAAAGACCAATGATGTTCGATGGGATGTCTTATTGGCATAAATATAGGTCGGCAATATTCAGAGTCGGCAAAGCCACGACCCGCAGTTATTTCATTGAGGAAGGCAAAGACATTGCTCATTGGGGATTCATTAAGCGTTTGGCGCTTCACTCGTCCAACAGCCGGCGCCGTTCTAATTTATAGGTAATAACATAACGATCGTGTCGAAGATCGTTCAAGATACAAGGCGCGGCCTCATTGTTATCGATGGACATTCGCCGCGCAATCACGGCGGCACAACTGTCGCCGCGATAGCGTTGGCTCGGATTCAACGTCCATTCCCCATAAAGTATTATTTTCATATCGACGCTTCGGTGCTCTCGATGCTAATGAAGTCGATCGACAGCACACCGATGGCCTAGTGGTCCTTATAGAACGCCGGGCGGCGCACGCGACTTAGCTCGCACTGGGAATTTCACCGCAAACCGAAACGGTTGCAGTTGCGCGCTTTGGTAATATCTCCGGGGGCCGGGCTCGCGGCCGCGTCTACCATGTACGGCGCCGAACGAGCCATTGTGCGGCTCGTGGTATTTCTGCGGCCGCCTCTGCGCCGCCGTTTACGGCGACCGTTCGCCCAAAAAAGTAGAACGGCGAACCATCCAAGCTGTTTACAAGACGTGCAACACTCCGGCCGCATTGCCCCGAGGTGAAAACGCACACTATTTGCATTTTACGCCGACACGCCTCGAACCACCCCGCGCCAGCGCAACATGCCGTGTACATTTCTTTCAACAGCCAACTCTCGCCATTATCTATCGGATATATTTCATTCACTCGTGTTGGATAACAACGCGCTAACACAGACTTTATCACGGGCACGTTTGACAGAAAAACATGAAACAATAACTAGTTATTTTTCTCAAGAATGACTACTGTTTTCAGCCCGGGTGAATTACTTCCTGCTATCGTACCTATAGTGTGCCGCCACTTAATAACTCATTAACATATGCTCAGAGATAACAAGGTGTAAACGAATATAACAAACAGACACCTCTTTGAATTCACTCCGTCGCGTTTTAAGTAAGCGCGCATGAAATTATATTTGTCCTTTTAACTGAATAAATAATGCGACGGGGCATTTCTGCAAATCGAAAGCTTACACCGACGACTGTATTTAAAGTGAAATTCGCTTAGAGAATGTATCTATGTTCGTGAAAATCGACACGCAAGGAATTTATTTTCAACTAGCTGTTGCCCGCGACTACGGCAGAGTGGAATAAGGGGAAGGGACAGTTATACATATAATAAAAACGTAACTTGTCTTTGTCTGTACACGGAAGACATTTGAGAAAAACTATTTAATACTAATTAAAGATCCCCTTTTATCAACGCAACAGAACCCAAAACAATGGTTGTTAAAATTGTTGTCTGTGTGTATGTATATCACTTTAAATATCACATTCATAGTTTTGCCTTCTGGGAAATAATTACTATGGGTCACACAAATAATTGTCCCCTGTCAGAATCGAACCCACGCCGAAGGCAATGCCTTGACAACTGCGCTATGGTCAGTGATCAAGCGAGTTGTGTTCGCGAAATAAACAAAATTTTGTCTGAACCCAGTGACAATCTCAGCTTGAATTATGTGCCTTTGTAGAGAAGTTACGTTTATTTGAAGTTAAGTTTATAATGAAGTTGAAAATGGAATCCGCCATTGCACAATTTTACACCGACATTGCGCGGGAATTTACATGCAGAAAGGCCACTTACAGTAAGCGAATTAAAAACTCAACCGGCTAATTTTTGGCTTAGTCATTGCTTGCAGTGAGCATAATACGTTCACATAACCAATAATTATCCTGATATCATCAGAAAAAATCTTAGTCATGTTTAGGTTATGTTTAGGCTTTAAGTTCAGTATTTTTAATTGTGGTAGGGCCACGCAGCAGCCTCGGCTGTCGCACGAATGGGCAGGCTCGTCCGGGTAAGTACCACAACCTCACAGAAAACCGGCGTAAAGTGGAAGTTTAATACTTTCATTTTTCGTCTGTTGAGTGAGGTGGCCGGAGCCCAATTCTTAAAAGGTTGTCAACACATCTGGAACCCTAGCGCGTTACAAATGTCCATGGGTGGCGGTTTTCACTTAACATCAGGTGAACCGTCTACTCGTCTGACAACTTCTCAAATAAAAAAAAATTGGAGAACTTTCAAGTGTTCAACTAGAACGTTCTCCAAATACTGAAAACAAAGAAAGTAATGGATATTATGGAGCCGACGAATGGTACCTACTTATCAGACCCGCTTGATACAAGTAGTTGGATAACTGTGATAACTAACTGTTTGCGACTGCATTGCTTTAATCTTAGAACTCCCAATCTCCCGTTTGTGAGTGAACCGATTGAGATGAAACAATGCCTACATTTTGCCCCAAGCTTCGCTTAAGTAACAAAATCCGATAAGTAGTTTCCGAGTTTATCGCGCACAGACAGACAAAAATTCCAAAAAGGGTTTTTATGTTTCCTATAACTCTTTTTATGATAACCTATTTCATTTTTTCATAAATATATTCAATGTACGCCGATTATAATCTTTTATTATAGTATAGACGTGTTTTACAAACAATAATCATGTCTCAAACAATTGTACAAACAACAAAACTGGATATTACAGGATCTAAAACACATTCAGCCTTCATCATAGATACCTACAAAATAATATATTTTACGTGACAATATATGAAAATATTTTAAAAACACTATGATATGTAGGTATGCTTACATATAATTAAACCTTATACAAAAGAGTTCTCGAATATGGAAAGAAAAAAATAATTCAAATTATACAAAACTAATTCTAACTAAACATAACTGTGATAGGGCCACGTAACAGTTTACTGTGGCTCGAATTGGCAGGTCCGATCGGGGAAGTACCACGACCTCACAGAAGACTGGTGTGTTGTAGAAGTATTATACTCTGCGTTTCGTCTGGTAAGTGAGGTAACCGGGGCCCACTTTATTAAGAGGTGGCGATGCACTGCAACCATACAAGCGTTGCAAATGTCCATGAGCTGCGGTTATCACTTAACATCAGGTGAACCGCCAGTTCGTTTGCCATCTTATACCATAAAAAAAAAATCATAACGCAATTAAAAACAAACGCATTAAAAACAAATAAGGCACCAATGTTAGAGAAGGAGAAATTTTCTATCCATTAATATGAATTTCTTCTTCTCTGCAACTTCAGTAAGAAACACTTCATTCGTTTATGACTACTTTTCTCGACTGTAGTCGAAGTTAAACTTTCATGGGGGTTGACGTAATATACGTTTTATATAGTAGATAACCGCTGCTGAATAATATAAAAGTATACAACATTTTAATACAACATTTTAAAGACAAGCCGTGAGATGTGTTGCAAAAACTATGCAGTTTAAAATTTATAACCTAAAGACGGACTTGGCCTTTAGACTCGATTTGTGATAAAACAAAAAAGTACCGTCAACCGTAGATATCCAACAACTCTGCACATTGATGACGCCGTCCGATCAAGAGCAAGCCGTGCTGAATATACAAGTTCACGGCGTCGAAATCTTGGATTGCTAAACACGTTCTCGGCCACAATGTGAGAAAGAACCGTACCGCAGTTCCGAAACATTTCTAAAACCAACACTCGAACGGTCGTAAACAATGTAATGCTGGACTGAGCGCAAAGGGAGCGCTGATTTAGCTACAGATTATGCGGCGTTAACAGGGCCATTGATTTAACACGAACAAGATTAATGCGAGACACTAAGTTCATGTTTGAAAAGTTAGAGTAATAATAGGTATTTCTGTTAAAGTAGGTATAAAAAGGAATTTCTGTTGCTCTTTTTAAGTAATAATAAATTTTCTACTAGAAAGTAAAAACATTATCAATATGCTTATCTTAATAATGAATTTAAATAAAAACACTTATTGCGCGATTAAGACTTCCGTTGAATTCATCTTTCATATTTTTATTTCTGTTTAGATACTGAAATGGGCTTGATAATCAATGTTTTATTTTTAAAATAGCAATTGCAAAAACCGTCACTATTGAAGCATATAAATTATCTTCTATGACAATAAACAATTTTATTGAAGCAATCTCGAAAATACCGCAGTAATAAAATTTGCAATTTAACATCGGTATTTTTCCGTCGCCGCAGTCATCATAGATAACTAGACATCGCTTCGAGGTATTAATCAGAAACAAACAATCGATTGAAATTGTCGATTTATTACATACAATCGACTAATACATGTATTAAGTCTTTGTAATTCTGTCAACAACAACCTTGGATAATACTGTACAGTTGTTCAATAAGCCATAACATGGTACATTATAGGTTATATTACAATTAGTTAACTAAAACATAAATCCCTTTCAAATGAACACTATAAATTCAGAATTCATTTCTCAACACTATTAAATACATCTAATCAGCTTACAATTTTAAACGCTAAACTAAGCATTCAACCTATTAAAATAGAGCTTCCGAAGAGGTCGTTTCGATAAATGTAATTTCAAAGAAATAGTTGGATATCATAAGAAGTACCAGTTAAAATAAATATTATATTAATAGCTTAAATCAGCCCTACATGGATAAGTGATTTCTGCTTGATAGGGCTTTTGAACAACAAATAGTCGGACTTCAGAAGAGCACAAGCAGGTTTACAGCCATCGCAGTTCTTATAAAAAATGTACTTGTAAAGAATATTTGTAGGAAGAAATAACCACAAATTTAAGATTCTTAAAGCCTTCATTCCTTACGTAAGCAAGTCAAGTAGACTGGTAATTAATTCGACTACCGCCACCCTACCGTAGCCAATAATACTGATATAAATAAGAGTTTTACCAAGCAATTTCTAAAAATTAATAATAGTCTTCACTGTTAGCAGTAATTATTTGTTTCACAAAGACGATGACACAAAAACTGCCCATTAAAGTTCGACTATGAAATAACATTCAATACCAACACAAGGCTAAGAATTTACCATTCTTGGAACTGCTTTGTGACTAATAATAAAGGTTGACCTATAAAAAAGGATTATTTAACACCTTAAAGAACACGTCCTTTAATCTCAAATGATTGTTATCGCACGTTTAATACATTCGATCCGTTGGCATTTAATGCCGTGTGTTAATTGAATTGTAAACCCGTGAGTGCACCGGCAGACATTTTCAATACTAAAGAGTACGCTCAATAGAATTGTTTGACTCACGAATTGTATTAATACACAGCAAATAGCACGGAGTGGTGATTGTTCAATAAATCATATTCGAACCATTCGACAAAAATGTCGACAGACGATCTCCCACTCGGTAAAGGTCATGAGATATTAAACAAGCCGCTCCTAACAATGTATTCAAATCCCATCAATAGGATTCCGGCTATTCTGTCATTCAAAAAAAACTCCATAGCGTTTTTATTGCAGACTCGAAGCCCATGTTTCTATCGACATCGGAATATGTCTAGCCTTGATCTTGTTATCTTCAGCATATCAACGTAAACACTTGGAATAATAGAGATCGATGTCGGAAGATAGGGCATGA